GGATTATCCGTACAAATCCTTCTTTATGTCACATTGCCCACCTTCTAGAGTGATTTACATGATTTAGTGCAGGGATTGGACATGTAAAGTCACTATAGCTTCTGGCAGGTCTGGCGCGCACCCACTTTACTGACAGGAGTGTGTTGCCCCTGTCATCACGCGACGTGGTTGCTTCTAACTGGCTGCGGGCCTACCTAAGCTCTGACTTTTTATGGTGACCGAGTCCTGCGTCAGCCCTATATTTTCAGGCATAACATACACAATTGCTATTCAAGCAATTTCTCTCATTATATTCTCTTTGTTATAGTATCAGAGCATTCATAACTCCAATGAGTTTTTTTGTTTTTATATCCTTCTCACTTCCCCATGGATGAAGAAAAACTCAAGAACCTCATCTCCCAATCAAACAGTTACCATCTCCTCACAACCCAGTCTTTCACAATCTCCTCAACCAAAGGAAATTCCAACTTCCCAAAATCAACTCCCCACCCCACGTGAAATAAATTAAATTTACTGAACTTGTTAATAATTTAGACGTTCAAAATTCAATTCTAAACAAGGAAAAGGAGAAGAGAACCAAATATTATAGCAAATGTGATCTAAACTTCACAGTCCGTTATTAAACACAGTAGTTCATATATAAAATTACACCCGAAACCAAAACAAACAATTAATTTACGTTATTTCCCAAAGACAAAGGAGCTACTTCAAGACAAGTGATCAAAAACCCCAAATAAAATTAAAAAAAAAAAAAAAAAAAACATATATATCCTCTTATTTAAACGTTCATACATAATGACTCCAAAAAGTTTGCATGTTTAATAGGATAACACACGAGTGGTTTGGCCATTTCTGTTGAAAATCCTGGCCCTTGGCTCAAATCAACCTTCCCCATTCTGAATTGTCCAATCAAAAATTGGACCAACGATCCAACGGCTGCATGCATCACCAACATGGCAAGTGATGCACCTGCGCACCCTCTTCGCCCACTACCAAATGGAAGTAACGGAAATTTGACCTTAAATTCCATTTGATGCTCACCAATTTTCTCATCAGAGCTCTCCAAAAACCTCTCGGGCAGAAATTCATCAGGATTAGCCCACGAATCAGGGTCCCTCATGATGGCGTATACATTAATCACAACTGCGTCTTGGACTTTACCGTGTAACCATTGACCTTGCAATTTTCAGGGCATTCTCTGATTATCATGGCGCTGAAGGGTGATCTGAGTGTTTCCCTTATGACCGCTCGAAGGTATGGGAGATTTGAGATGTCTTGATCTTTTTACTAGCCTGTTTGGTCCAACGACTGAATTGATCTCGTCTCTCAGTTTCTTGAAGGCTTTTGGATTGTAATGAGTTCTCCCATGGCCCATTGCATGGCCGCTGATGACGTGTTGTCCCCGCCATGAATATGTCCTGGTTCAACAAGCTTGTTGCAATCATTGAATAACATAAAATTAAAACATAGTTTTGATATGCTTCTTATGTGTTGCTAAAGATTCCTCTAGAAAAAAGACGTCTCATATGATGTGCTTTTTTCTTTTTCTTTTTTTTTTTTTTTTTTTTTTTTTTGTGATTCTGTCTAATTTTCGAGAATATTGAAAAGATATAAAAAATGAAAACATATTCAATATATTTATCTGAAATTAAAAAAAAATGATAAATATGAAATTTATCAACTTTACAATCGATAAAACTACTTCACATTACCATTTATTTTGTTAACTTTAAAAAGTTTATCTTAAATATGTCAATTATTGGTTTTCATTAGCAATTTCGTGCTTAAAATATTGATTTAAAATAAAAGATTTTATTATATGAAAAAATATATGAATTTTTATTTATAAATGAGCCCAAAAATCTATTTCTTAACCTCCATTCCTATGTACTTTGCAAATCTAGAGAAGATAACTGAAGGTGTATTTTTTTTCATTTTTATGAAAACAAAAGGGAGAAAACCTACTGCGTAATTTGTTACAATTTTAAAATCACAATTAAAGGTACTTAATAATATTATAGTAGGGAAGTTTGAAAAACTTACAAGCAAAAAAGATTTGATATCCTTTCGAGTTAATTTCATTTCAGAATTTGGGTCTCTATATATCCCCAGCAAAATATCCATCACATCCATCCTTTGATCCGGAGCGAAACCCTTCTCGGCTTTCTCTTCATGTTCCTTCATGATCCTCTCCACAATGCGGTCATACTTAAGCAGTGCAGACATAAGCTTCTTCCCATTCCCCGAGAAATCAAGAACTTTCAAAGGACCCAAAACATCCCCTATATGTACCTTTCCTGCAAGGACCAAACAAGTCTTTATCAACCTCTTAATTTCCTCCGCATCGCTTTCATTCCCAGAGCAACTTGTGCTCATAGCCATCCGACAAATGGTGTTATTTGTCAAACTTGTTAATTCACTACTCAAATCACACGGTTTCCCTTCTCTGTAACACTTCATCACCGACTCCACAAGCTTGATCTTCTCTTCGTCGCGTACAGAAATGAACTTATCGAGATGAGGGACAGATAACAGCCTGGTCATGCTCAGTTTCTTCATGAACCGCCAGTAATCACCGTACTGCGCGAGGATAAATCTTGATCCTCTATATATGAAGTACTCTGACGCACCAAACTCAGGCCTAGAGGAAAAGTTGAGTTCTTGGGTTTTCATGATTTCTTTGGCAACAGCAGCGTTTGATACAACAACACATTGGGAAGCACCAAGACGTATTTGCATGAGAGGGCCATAGCGGCGAGCTAGGGTTTGGAATGATTTTGGGAGGATTTTTCCGACAAAGTGAAGGTGGCCGATGAAGGGCAGTGCCGGTGGGCTGGGCGGAGGCAAGATTGGATTTTCAGGTTTTGAGAATTTCTTGATGAAATAGTGAATTAGAAGGGCAGTGATGAACCAAATTATGAACATTAATAAGTAGTAAAGCAAATCAGTAGCATATGTGATCGCCATTGCAATTTTGGTTAGTGAATTGTGAGAAGCATGCTTATATAGAATTTTGAAATTTAAGATTACATTAATGCTTACGTAAATTATTCATAAATTATTTTATGGTTTATGGTAAAGTAATTTGTTTGGGTGGTAGAACATGTCAATCGTAATCTAATTAGAGATCTGACAAATAAAAGAAAATAGGTCATTGATTGTCGCATATGTTAACAATATTTGTAACAAGTCCAACTAACAATTAGATATATAATTTTATTCATTGATATTGATGTAGAACTAGAATATATACCAACTCTATCCAATACAAATCAAATCTCTCAGATATTCTTCCGGAACTTTTAGTGGGGTTATTTTCGTATATTAATTAAGAAATGCTATTGTCGATTGATTGAAAAGCTTCAAAATCTTGGGTCTGATTTGATGAAGCACGTAATTGAGAGTGAGCTTCGGGTGGTCCAGCCAAATTATTGGGTTACCTATTAATATTATCGGATGAAAAATATAAAGTTATGTCCTAATTAGATTGCATTTGAGACTGATTGCAACCACCATAGATACTGAAAGCACAAGAGTCGTTCTACTGAATTGAATTTAAAGTAAAAATCATATCACCACCAGAAACTCCCGACGGCGTACAGTTAAGTTACAGACATCTGCGACATCAGTGTATTGTGCTTCCTCTGGCACAACAAAAGATGCGACGATCGTCGATACCAATTCGGTGTCGGTGTCGGTGTCGATGTTGTGTTCTAAAATCATATATATTAAAGTAAATAGATAGAAAAGGGTCAATGTCAAACAAATGAAAGTATTCAATTGTAATAATCATCAAATAGCTTTTATTTTTCAATTATCACCAATAATCCGCCCTATGGATTCCGAATCCGAACTGTATAATGAGGACAAATAAAAGGTTGCGTTTTGTTAATTAAGTTTGTTAGAACTTAGAACACGGGATTGGGCGTAGGTGTGGTCCTGATGCTGACACATCGAGAATGACATTTTCATCCCTGAGGTTTGGCAAAAGCATCAATTAGGTCCAGTAAAATAAAAACAAAAAGTCACTTTAATCCCTGTCACTGTCAGACCAAGGCTATTATATTATATTCCATTAAATGATAAACAAAATAACTTGATTATTGAATCTTAAGAATTATAGTTAAAAATTTCATAAGTTATTTATATGACAAAAATACCCTTATATTATTTGATGGAATGAACTATGAAGTGACTTTTCCTGATTTTATTATTCCTAATTAATACATTTGTTAAATCTCAAGGATGAAATTGGTGTTAACTCCACGTTGAGCTGTTGGAATCTTTTGATTTATTTTGGAATTAGGTTAATGGCTAATAAAGTATACAATACGATGTTAAAAATCCCGATTACCTTATTGAATTCAAAATTTCCAAAATAATTATAAGATGTGTGTACGTGATTTGGGGCCAACTCACTACAGAAAGAAGTTGGTAAATTTCGAATCTTGATCCAATTAAACTGACCTCTCAAACAAGATTTCCTTTCTGTTCTTAATTCTAATGTATATTTCGTTGGGTTATCCATCCCATATATGGGCATGACACCCAGAGCCCAAAAGCAATTAAAATAGGGAAGTGATTTTAACCCAAGTGAAAGTATCCTTCTTCTATACTTCAAACTTTAAAGCTTTATAATTACAGTCATCAAAACTAAAAGTAAAATTAAATCAACAAAGTTAAGCGTGGGACAAATTATTTTGATGTTTTTATAGGTTGACAATTCTGTATTTTGATTTGGATTTTATTTAGTATTTCAAAGATTTTAACAAGGGAGGAAGAAGATAATGTTCATTTTGGAATATGATTATATAAATAATTTATTTAATAATTTTTAATTAACTTGCGGCTTGAAAAGAATTTGAATGGATTCAAACAACATCATCACTCAAGAAAGAAAATGTTTTTTTCCTTAAAGAGCTCCTAATCTATGTCCTTGACGGTGATCTAAGCTTGACATTATCGATTTTAGAAGACAAAAACACAAAATTTCATCTCTTTACAATTTTAATCAAGCTTTATACATCCATCAATTTTTGTTTTTACAAGATGTCATCAGAGGATGACCAATGTCTACAGAGATAATAATGATCACCAGAAGATGATCATTTTCACTGCAGGGCCCAAATCTAGTTTGTCCGGTTTCTGGCTAGTGCTGTCTCCGAAATATATTTGCTGAGAAGATGAAGAGTAATCACCGCATTGACATTAATGTGAGAACTCTTTTCTCCCTTTCAGCGTTCCTGGCACTTGGGGTCCTCTTCAGTTTATTCAATTCCTCCATTACGACTTCACCAACTTTGTCAATTGAGTTCAAAAGTTTCTTCTGAGGTGTAAGAAACTCTAACTCTTCACCAGCCTGATTAATAGAGGGTGGACAATGCTTCTTATGGAAAGTTGGATTTGGGGACAGCACTGAATTATTGTGCTCTAGCTGAGCACCTGACAGTGGCTCAGGGAAATCAACTACTCTTTGATCCTGAGGCATTGGACTTTCCATCTGTAGGGCTTCAGTTTCTCGTAAGCGAGCTCTTTTCCTTTCAATCGCCTGATGAAAGCAAGAGTTAGAAATCTCTATATCTGGACTTAGAAAGCCCCAAAAAGAAAGGGGAATTATAACAATGAAATGCAAAAAGAATTTTACTTTTGACTCAAATTAAGGCCAATGATATCTCTGACTCCAGCATTTATGAATAAACACAATGGCTCTATGGCACTTCAAACAGATTGTCAGCAGGGTGTCATTTGTTGAATGCTTAAATTAATCAATGCAGAACACCAACAGGAATGCATTTCACTTGAATGCACAGGACACCGTGAAGATTCTAATGGCCAAAAAACAATACAGAACAACATAAAAACGCTCTGACACCATCCAAATAGAATTAACCGAGCAACATCCATGCAACTCAAATATAGAAAATTAAATATCAGAACAAAGTTCGCATTCTTGTACTTTTGGTGATAATAATGAATAAGCACAAGCAGTCAACTTCACTGTGGCAAGAAATGAACCGAAAATCATCAGCGTTGTCAAATGAATTTTAATATCTATGGAATTTATGACGCAAGAACTCAGCATGTCATTTAATTCACTAACAAAAACACATGATTAAGAGAATGAATCTCGTTGAAACAAGGATAACACAAAGAAAATACAAGCTCAAAATAATACAAAACTGTCTAAATAGCAATTATTTAATCAACAACTCTGCGACAAATCAAGGGTCGATACACGACAGAAATCTTCCCCTAGATTTACCAGCATCATAAACCCAAATAATTATTAAATAAAAAAGAAATAATTAACATATCCCTTTAATAACCAAAACGCACAAATCGAATCAGATGCAAACAAAAGCAAATGGAAAAAGAAAAACCCTAATTCACGAAGCTTTAAGGAATATTACCAAAATAAGTCATAAGAAAAATTATCAAATGTCCAAAAACTTAAACACTAAAAGTCAAGATTCAGTTCAAATCACAGCAACATAACCAAGATTGACAAACATACCAACTAACAAGAGAATAAAGATTATAAGAAACTTACTCTCATTATAGCAGTAATATCACCTAGAGGCCTCCTGGGGTACCAAGAAGGCAACACAGAACGTCCACGTGTCGCCGACACATTTCTTCTTCCATGGCCGAGCGCGCTTCTTGGGGTCCCCAACCCACCACCTCTTCCTCCACCTATCAATTTTCTTTGTCCACGCGCCACCGTCGTGTTAGCCACTTGAGTGACCGGAGATTCCATCTGTTCTGGCCTTCTCTGAGCGAAGAAAGTCGCAATATCGTCTCTGACGATTCCCAGAGTTCCAGACCTTCTCTGAGCAAAGAGGGTCGCAAAATCAACTGCCGTCACAAGTCTATCACGTGACTCCGACATTTTTCACCTTGGAGGGGACAAATGAAAGAGATAGAACAGTGAAAAAAAGGAGACTAGGGTTTGGGTGACGGTGAGTGTGGCCTCAAATGAAAACATGACGGTTTTAATAAAAAAAAAAAAAAAAAAAGAATCAACGGATCTTCAAATTTCAAAATTTGTCTAAGAGCGGGCGTTTTAGAAGGGCAGCGTAATGACTTCTTACCCCTTATGGCGCTTAGAAATTTTAGGTTTATTTTGTAATTTGTATTATACATTTATCTGTTTAGTTTAAAATTCTATACAATTATTTTCTTATACATTTACTGTTAGTTTAAGAAGAAGAGTGGGGAGTTTTAAATTTAATTGATTCAGATTTTCATTCTTGAATTTAACAATTAGGTTGAAAAGTGGTTCATGACATGAATTAATTTAAAAAATGACAAGAACAAATATTAATTTGAAAAGTGGGTTAATAATAAAATGCGCTGAATTCATTCATCATCAACAAACTCGTTTCAATAAAAATAAAAATGGACACCATGTCCAACCTCTCAATCGTACACTTCTTTTCTACATGATATAAGATTCTGTTTCTGTGAAAACAATCAAACCCTAAATAACATCATCGTTCCAAAAATTAAAATAAAACAACAAAAAAAAAATGCAGTTTCAAAATATAAGGACAAGCAACACCCACTCTTCCCTGCAGAATTCTGCTCCGGCTAGGAACAATAATCCTAGTTCCCTTCAGAAGCCCCAAGTTTCCTCCAGATTCATCTTCATTTGCCGTAGGGACTTCTTGCTAATTATCCTGTATATTTCTGTTAGCACTGTTAAAAATGCTGTTTCAACGTTTGTTGCTTCCAGAGCTGACGTCTCCCTAAAGAATAGGTTTTTCTTTGAGCGAATTCTTGCGCATCCTCTATTGGCACTGCTCGAAGACTTCCCAAGTCACACTGTTGCCGATGAGCATAATCACGATATCTTATCAGCATGCCCCCTCAGTTCTTCCAGCACCTTGCCATGGGTCAAATGACTGACGCTTGGTCACGTCATAAACTACACTTGCCCCAACTGCTCCTCGGTAATATGCACTTGTCACTGCCCTGTACCTGCGGAGACACAATTGAGGATGACTTCAAGAACCACAAACTAAACTGATTCAAGCTCCATGTCTCTTGATATAACAAACAACCCATAAAAAGCTTGCAATTCTGCTCGGGAACCGAGATACCTCTAGCATATAGGATCAGTTTTTATAGGATTCAAATGGAACATGATCATAAAACTTTCTCAGCAATTTCAGTAAGAACAATGAGCTAACTGGAGCAAAAGTGGGATGTCACCAAACTCTTAAAGCAAGCCGATTGTTATGCATAATAGGTAAAAACTACTTAAAGCAAGCCGATTGTTATGCCTAATCAGTAAAAACTTCTTAAAGCAAGCCGATTGTTATGCCTAATAGGTAATAGCAGATTAACTGTGTCGTTCCATTCTCATTAATATTTTCAAAAAACTCATTTCCTGAAAATAATAACATAGAAGTGAAGAATCAGGTAAACCAAAGCAGTGGCATGAAAGTAAAAGTCGGTTCAGTCATAAGTTGCACAGTTTTGAAGAACTATTTAGCCAATTTGTATATGGAAACTATTAAGTATCTATCTAAGTAGAGGAATTGTTTTCCTTTTTTTGAATATCAAGATGCCAAAAAAAGACATTGTTCATGTGACTCTAACCTGGATGGGCAGGTTTGTTATAGTTGAAAGAATTGGGAGCTTGAGAAGATTGTCACTGTCAGGTTTCTGAGGTTGACAGCCTACTCTGAAATTACTTCATTGGCTTTTGTCGGAGAACGCACATTTGATGGTTGCTGAAACGAAGGACCAATGAAGAGATGGTTCGGTAGAATGTGGGAATGAATTTGGGTTTTCAAGACTGAAAATATTTACCTCTCATACGGTTCAAAACCTTACACATTAATCTTGCTTCAAATCTATTAAAAACAGTTAAATAGATATGCCTCCAATGTAACAAAAGATTGGAGAATTTTGATTAGATTAATTATCGAGAAAAACAGATTAGCCCTAAGATACAAGAAAAAATTTAGCCTTCAATATAGGACAAGGATTATCATATACTGCTTTGTGATGGAGACAAAAGGACAACAGAAAGGATAGCATCTCAAATGTGGAACGAGACTTGAAAAATGCAGAAGACAGAAGGAAGAACAAGTTTGGACGATAAAGTTTGGAGTAAGCCAGGGTTCCTTGCCGGTAACAAAGTTTATCAAGAAAGGCAAGATAAATTGTTCAACATGCAAAAAGAGAGAAGCAGGTATGAGGTATGATATCAGGTAGCAAACTTCCACACAGAACCAAAAAACATATGATAATCACGCTGCTGATATACAGCAAAATCAGTAAGAGCTAGAAGCTAAATAGTACTGCTTTTGTTATGCCAGTTGGGTTACATGACCAGATCAAGCATAAATTTTAGGCAGCATTGCACAACAAGTCAATCTTAATTGAGAAATTAATATTACGAAGCAACAAGAAGCCTTCTAATGGTGCCCAAATCACACAAAATAGCTGTCCCCAATCAAGGATCAATCTGCATGCACATTCTAATTGTGGATTTCACTAAAAGGCTGAAGACATTTAAACATTGCAGCTGCAACAAAGCCCTTTTAGACCAAAAAGCTATGCAAGGTGAACCATATCAACAAGCTTTTTGAGACTATTGGGAAACAAGATATTTGTGCATTTCCCAACATGTCTTATCTTCTCTTTATACTGCCACTTGTCAGAACTAGATCCATAATCAATGCACATATTCATGGCTTGAGCTTCAAGAAGAAATGAGAAATAGTTCTTCTGTAACTCTCAAGCAGGTTGAGGGAATTAACAGAACAAAAACTTTGTTTCGTCTACAATAACGGCACCATTCCAGAAAACCTTAGAGAAGAAAAGCACCTGACAGCTTTAACTAACTCCTCATATCAGACTCCTCTTGAGCCACCAAATTATAACCTAAACCAACCATTTGCTTAGCAATGCCACACTTTACCGTATAAAAGGACTGCTTTTGGCCCCTTTAACACAAAGCCATTCCTATGCTACCCACTTAGCACCTCTTCATTCGGGTTCACTGAGAACCAACTGATCTTTTTTTCGAATTCCTAAAGCATAAACCTAAATTGCAATTTAAAGGACAATCATTTGCCAAAAGATATTAAAGGCATAACTTGTAAAATCCAATTTTAATGTGACCCCGTTTGAATCCGAAAACAAGAAATTAAAATGGAAGATAAGAATGAATACCTTTCCTGGCCAGCAGTGTCCAAATCTGGCTTTAACCGTTTTGTGATCAATAGCAAGCGTTTTGGTCTGAAATTCGACACCAATTGTTGCTAGAATCGACGCTAAATCATTCTAGCGAAACGTGCGAGGAGCTGAGATTTTCCCACGGCGGAGTCCACAATCAATACCACTTTGAACACATAATCAATCTTTGATTGTAATCTCCATACAAATTGACATTGTAATTACCACAAACAATATCAAATCTCCTCTCAAACCCACAAATATGGACCTGAAAAACAACACAATTTCGTAAGATCAATCATGTGTAGACTACATCGTTGAACAAGATCTGAAGCTCAATAACGATCAAATGAGATTGGAATTGTTTTCTGTGAAGAGGGAATTATGAGACCAACGGTCAATGCGGGGGCCATTAACGGTTTGCTACTTTGCTTAGCATTGGAATGTTTTGGTGTACAGGAACAGCTTAGTTTGGTGCTCTTGCAACTTATGGAATGATTTATAATACAAAAATTGTACATCTTGCAGTCTTAGTTAAAGAAAGAAATCATTGTTATCTTTGTTCTTAAAACATTATTATATGCTAGAAAACATTAATATGCAGTGATTTAAACATATTTGAGAATATGATAGTTGTTGTTGTATAAAGCCAATTAGATATTACAGAAAATGACTACTGTTATTGGGCTTGATCAAGGCCCATGAAAATATTATTGGGCTTTGTTTACACTGTCACCAGGTGGACACTTTAGGGAGCACTGATTTCTTCTGGAATTCCAGTAAAATGATTAAAAATGACATTATCAATTCAAATACAGTCGTACTTTTTATAAGAGTAATGCTACAGTCACCGACAGTAGTACACCAAATTTATGACCGAATAACTTGGTAAAATTTGGTGCACTACCGTCGGTGGCGTATTATTTTCTTTTACCACGTCATTCGGTGCACAAATTCGGTGCACCACCGTCGGTGGCTGATTATTTTCCTTTTCTATATTTTCTTATTTTTAACCTTCAATTTTTACATAAACACCAACTTTAATTTTTCATAATCATAGAAATTTTTTTTTTGATATTTGTTTGTTTGATGAGATATATTATTAAAACTTTGAAGAAAGTTTCAACAATAAATATGAATATAAAGAAGAAAATTCAAATTTGAACTTGAGAAAAGATAAAAGCAAAAAACATAATTAACTTTTAAATTAGAAAAAATGGGTGTAAAAACACATAATTAAGTTTTAAATTAGGGAGACTGAGTGTAAACCAAAAACATAATTAAGTTTGAAATTAGGGGAAAATAATGCTAACAAAAAAACCGTAATTTAGCTAAAAGACCATTTTCGATATTGGTTAGGGTTTAGAAAGAACTTTTTAACAACACACACCCACACTTATATATATATATATATATAATATATATCTATATATATATATATATATATATATATATATATATGATGTTTTTACTCGAGCAAGGGGGGAACCAGAAATAAGTTTATTTAGAAATAAAAGATACCGATAAATTAGACGGGACTGGAAATCATTTCCCAACCTCAAATTCTGTCGTATACTTATGAGTTCGTAGCACAAAGATAAAAAAATAAAATATTGCTAATCAAATAACGAACTCCTGGAGTGGTGGGTTATTTGAGAAGAAATGAGCTTGCAAACAGAGAGTTGTTGGCTCAAAGTCAGAGCTAACTTTAAAACATTGAAATAACAAAGGCTTACTTGAAGCCTTTTTAACTTCACAA